CCCCCGGGCCACGGCCGCCGGCAGGGACGCGCCGGCCACCACTGCTGTCCCCGGCTGGGGTCCGTGGCGCATCCTGAGGGCACATCCAACCCCTTGCAAGCAGCGGGGTCCTGCAATTCCCAGCCCTATCTGGACTTTTGGAGTGATCCAACGTGTGAACCATCTTTTTTCGTTTATAATCCAGGTTATAAAACAAACAAAAACCCCACACAACTCATTTCCTCCCTTTTCTCGTTAAAGGTGTTTAACATTATTCCTTTTCCCGGGGAAAGAGGAAGAATCTCATTAATTCCTCCCAGAAACCATTCTGGTGCCAGGAAACGGGTGTTTTCACTAGGAGAGTTTCTCCCATCAGCCAAAAGGCAAAAATCCTCCGCCACTGGGAGCACGGGACAGTGAAGGGCAGCGATTGTAGCGATTTGGGGGCATCCAGGCCACAAATCACTGGGTCACTCAGGGTGCTTGTCCCCAAGCACACTCTTCTGCCCGTCTCGCTGCATTTCTTGTGCCTTCCTCCCAAGCAGCCGGCCCAGCCGCTGCTGGGGGCAGGTCCCGGCCTGCAGAGCCCCTGGGCTAATTCACTCTGGCTGCTTTTCCCCCGCGCCGCTAAATAACCCCCCAGCTACAGAGGCCGCAGCCCCCGCTTGCTCAGCCCTGCGGGAGGCCACGCGCTGCCCGGCACCGGGAACGGCCTCCCAACCCAAAGGCCATCGGCGAAGAGAAACCTTCCATTCCATAAACACCGCAGACAAATTAAAAATGGTAAAAGGGAAATCAAGACCTTTAAAGTTCAAACACTTTTCGGTGCCTTTTAAAGTTTTTTGCTCTAGGCCCTTGCAGCGAGCACAATCTTTGGAGACCTTGGAATTCTCTTTAATCACCGAGCCAGTCTGCAGTGGTCTGAAATGATTACACATTTACATAGTAATAACCCCAACACTCCCCACATTATTTCATGGCTAGCATATTTCCACTCGGCGAGTGATCCATGTGTTTTAAATTATAACCTGTACATAGGAAATTAGTTACTAAGTACGATATTCACAGGCTCGTCTGACACTTCTAATTAAGGTGATTTACACAGAATTATCCTTCGAAATAAAAAAATGGTGTTTTGCTAGCTAATAAAATATAATTACTACCCGCTTTTATAAGTTACAGTTAGTTTTAATCTATTTGGGGAATTGTTTATCTAGTTCATTACAGCAAAACAACTTCTTGCCCTTTTAGGCAACACTCCCCCAAAACAACCAAATAAGCAAGGAAACATCCTGGAAAGGCCCAGAGGGCTGGGGAGGCTCCTTCTCTTCCCTGCTGGATTTGTATTTCCAAGAGAGGAGCGGATGCTTCCTCACTAATCCACTTCCTGGGGGCTGTGGCCGCAGCGGTGGCAGTAGGTACATGTCCCCATACGTGTGCACACTCATGTGTGTCAGCGGGGACACGAGATGCATGGCCTGGTTCCCATGGGGCCTCGGGACACATAGCTCCTGTTCCCAGGAACGTTCACCCCTAGCAAGGTCCTCCCATGCAGTTACAGCTTAGCCATGCCATGGCGCACGGATGCCCTGGAAAAGCAGGCAGGGACCTGCTTAGGAGCATCCTTGGTGCAAGGAGGAATCCCCTGATGTCACCCCGTGGGATCTCCCCCGGCAGCTCTTCAGACCTGACACATCATTTGTGATGTCCAAAAAGGCACAGGGCACCTCACCATGCTGCACTGGGGCTCTCTGGTCCTTGCCTTTCAGTTTTTTTTTTTTTTTTTTTTTTTTTTTTAAAAAAAAAAAAAAAAAAAGAAGGAGCAGGGACAACATGACAACATGCTGGAAGTAACCCTCTTAGCCTCATGAACCAGAGCTGCAGCTCTGTCCTTGGACACTTGTCACTGGACTTAGGACCTTGCTGTCCCATGATCAGGACACTGGGGTGTGATAACTCTAAAGGAAGGGTCTTCACTTCCAGGGTTTTGTTGGTGATACCCTGGAAATGGAGAAAAGTGCAAAGTTTGGGTCTTGGGAGCAGTGCTAGAGACCCCTGGGCAGGAAGAGCTTGTCCCCACAGCTGGAGCAGGGAACAGCAGCATCACTAGGAGCATAGGAACAGCAGGCTGGGAGCAAATGAGACCCCAGCAACGGCATGCAAGAGCCTCCCAGACACTGCCCAGGAAGAAGGCATAGACAACTCTGTTGCAGTTGCAGCCTGAACATTTGCTAACATAAAGTCACAGAGAAGGACAAACTCACATAGGTAAATGAAGGCTCAGAGAAGCAACAGATCCACCTGAAGCCTCAGAGAAGCAACAGCACAGGCACAAGTTGTCCCCTGCTCCAGCCCCCAGAGCTGGCAGCTGCTGGTCCTCCCCAGGCACGTTCAGACGAGCTCCCCAAAGGCCCCCGTCCAAACCAGGTCAGGGCTTATGAAGAGGATCTGTCACACAAGGGCTGAGCTCTGGAGCTAGGAGAACCCCTGGTGCCCCCTCCTTACATGTAATTAATACCTGCTGTAAGAGAAGAAGTTCCCTGGGTAGTTACAGTTGATTGTGCTCATCCCTTAATGACATTAGATTAGCTTTAAATAGGTGCTAAGAGGACCGATGACACCCGCAGCTGACACCACGGCTGGTGCTTTGCAGCTCCCCAGCTCCTTCCTAAAGCAAGCCTTGCGGAGTTTCCAAATGAAATTTTCTACATCCAGCAGCAACAGTTTGTTTGTAGCTGCATTGCACGTAGCTCATCGGTGGGGCAGGGGCAGCTGCGGGACGGAGCAGGGATCCTGCAGAGCAGCATGGAAGGAAGCGCCAGGAGTAAATCAGCAGTATGCAGGGTGGAGAGGGAGTTGGATAATAAGTGGAAACGTCACTCGAAACCCAAACAAGGAAATTAGGATTTGATAAAAGAAAAAGAGAGGAAAAAAAAAAAAAACAAAAAACCTGCATGGACCAGGTCCTCACGTAGCTGCAGGTGGCAGCTCCCAGGGGCTGCCCAGCAGGATCTGTGCTGCCAGGGGAAACCCACTGTGATTTCTAACCTGCTGTAGCTGTTCTCATGGCACCTGCCCCCATGCCAGTTAAGAGATCTCTTGCAGCCCACAGGGAAAGGGACTGGGCAACAGTGGGAATGGCCAAGGGCCCTGGAGCCAGGCCTAGAAGGTGGGGAATTCCTCCTGCACCCACGTTCTGGGATGATGTGGGCAGAGCAGGGGTTGGGCCTTTGCCTCATGCAGATCCTTGCTGGGGTTGCCAGTGGGCTGCGGCAGGGTCTGCTCCAGGAGATGATGGTCCATGTGTGGGGGCAAAGCAGGAGGCTTGGGTGGGAGGGACATCTCCTTTCTTTCCCATTGTTTGTAATGGAAGTGGCTGGAAAAATTAAAAAGTGGGAGGGAAAGG